TAAAGATTTGTCTTTGATCAAGCGCCCCCCGCTACACTGGGGCGTATCGGATCACTTTACGTCGCATCTCATCTCAACACATTTGAAAGGGCACCCCCAGTGGCAGCTGTCCCAGTGGGCGCATGGTTTGTTATTTGCACCGATGCTCCATCTACACAAAGGGGCCCATTTCACCGCAACATCGCAGGCGGTCTACATTACTGCTGTGCAGGATTTTGCGGTTGTGCCGTACAGCTCTCCGACGCGTGTCCAGGTTCTACTGTAGCTGTTCGGCGCGACGTTCGACGTTTCGCTCAAGCGGCTCCCGGCACGTGGAGCGAAATATTGGACGTCGTGTCGGAAAACGCGTCGTGCGACTGGAGTTTGTTCGAGGGAAAGAACGCACGCCAGAGACCCCCACTCCGCCGCCATCACGGGGGCCGCGCCGCCGAGCATGGCCAGGAATGACACGGACACGCCACGCGGGAGGAGACTCGCGCCCATCGGTGTGTCGGCGCGTTACAAAGCGGAGGTGCACGGTCACGCACTCTTACGGCATCGCGTGCACCGGAGTTTATTCCGTGGCTTCGGGAATTAAACTGCGCCGGCTTAATCCGAGTCCCGCAAAACAGAAGGTCAGCGTTACCACAGAAAGGTCCCACGCGGGCAGTGCCGATGACGAGGGCTCGCTCCGGGTTGTCGCTGCCTGATGGCGCGCCGCGTGTATTGTGTCCGGTGCGCAGGAGTGGCGAGCGCGTGTGGAGGCAGTGCCACGCTGTCACGCCGCACGCCCCGCTAGTGCTGCCCGCACACCCCGGGGTGACCCTCCGCTTCCCTCCGTTCACCTCCGCCCTTTCCGCCGCTTGCGATTCGCCGCTCGCGACTCCTCTTTCAAATCTACAAAACGAGCGCTTATCGCATCGCCTTCTCTTGCTGAAGAACGACCGTTTTCTAAGACGTTATTTTTCTTAAAAAAAAACACCCCTAAGTGCAGTTTATAGAAGTGCGCTCGCGATCCCGTGCCTGGTGACGCTGCACGTCCACAATGCGCTCTGTGGGTGCCTCTGGGTGACGTTAAGTAACGGACGAACTCGGCTGGCGGGCCTTTGGGAAGGGCGGGCGGGCAGGCGGCGGTGACCCCACCGAGGTCACGCGGCTTCACCGCTCACCCTCTCCCATGTAATTTTACGGTGAATAATATTGGTCGTGAAAGCTCACATGTTAAACTGCAGCAGACTTGTCACCAGTGTCATCTTGCAGTCGCGCTACTGTGCGGCTCTCCGTGGCGTTCTCGGGTCACGCCGCGTGTCGTTCGGCGCGATGTCCGACGCTTCGCTTCTCGAAGCCCCCAAACACGTGGAGAAAACGTTGGACTTTGTGCGGAACGACTCGTGACAAAAACCCGCGAACGCGTCCGAAGGCCTATCGCCTCATGTTGGCTGTCGTGCGGTTGACCCCGTTATAATTAAATTTCGCTTACTTTACCATAAATGGACAAGCGGTCGAAGCTGCGCCACAAACCGTGAATGGAAAGTGCCGACTGGGAGAGCGTTTGTTGTAGCCCAGCGTGCGAAGACGTGCCCGGGTCGCTGTGCTCACGGCGCACAGGGGAAGGGAACAGCCCCGAGTGCGAGCGGCCAGTTTCAACCGGCTGCCAGGGATGGAACCAAAACACGCTAAGAGCTGGGAATGAGCACGCGAGGGTTTTTGTCGACTTGATTTCCCCCCTCTTGCCACTGCGCGTTTGTCCTCCTCGTGGGAGTTTAATTAGCGACGGTAGCGGCAGCGCTCGTGCCGGGCGCGCAGGAAGCTGCACGGCGCTCGAATAACGGCGGATCTGCCGGAGAGGGCGCGGGAATCTCTTTGATCAACGTGGCCGGTTATCTCTCGAGCGAGTCCCTGGAGTTGTGATCATCCTGATGAGGGTTATCGTGCCTCCCCCTGACAAACAGAGTTCTTGCATCCACGCTTTCAACCTTAGTTGGAAGGCGTTTACATATTTTTTTTATATGTTTTAATTTGTTTCCTTCCCGCCTCCTGCATGTTTGACATTGCAAGTGCAGTATGAAGGATCAGGATTTGCATGGCGTTATTCAGCATTTGGACAACGTGGCGCCTCGGGGTGCCGTGCGCGTTGCCCCATCCATTCCGAGCGCAGGCTTCTGACCGGTGCGCTTATAACAGCTTGGCGCTGGGTTCAATGCATTTGGCGGTCAGGCGGCAGTAAAGGTCGGAGTGGCAAACTCGCAATCACAATGTTGCGAGTTTAAGGTCAACTTGGGCCAGAGTTTCTGTAGAGTAGATAACATCCATACTGCTTAGTGGAAAGCGAATATCGGTCGTTCCACATAAGCAGCTTTAAATGAAGGATTTTAAGCAGTAGCTGCGCATCACCACAGAGAAAGCATTCCTCAACGCTTGGGCACGCGGACTGGTTGACGTTGACCAGTACAGAGGTGCGTTTGCTTACTGAGGATTTACAAACGCCTTTGGCTAGACCACACGCTGTTAACACGCTCGCCCCACAGCCTCTTGTGTTCACTGCAGTGGCAGAGGTGGCGACGCTCAAGTTAGAAACACGCGGTGGCTGTCAAGTCGAACTTATTCCCCTCTAGCACCCTATCAGTGCGCCTTTGACGCTCGCGGTGACCGATACGGACTGGTCGTCGCGCGGACCGTGGAGACGCGGCAGACGTCGTCTGACCACGCGCCCTGCGAAACGAAGCCACGGGCTTGGCGCTACCCACGGGCCGGGGGATGCCCACGCCTGGCTCGGTGGTAACCGAGTCGCGGGCAGCGCGTGCGACGGTGCTTCGTGGCTTCCCCGGCTGCGGTGGTTTGTAGCGGGGAGCGCTGTGCGACGCAGCGCGGGAAGCGGCACGGCCGCTCCGCTCCACACGCGCGCGCCATGCCGTACGCCGCTTGATTCTTACGTGAAAAGCATTTTCTGATTTGAAAGGGAACAAGACGGGGCGAGCGCGGTCGTCTTGTGCCGTTTGCGTCGCGCTGCCTCGGTTGAACGACGCGCGATGTTGTGTTGAATGACGCACCGTGACTTGCTCTAACCCCCCGCCGAATTGCGCTAATCGGTGAATGTTTTCTTTTGCATAGGTTGTTGTGGAATGGGTAATCTGCTAAAGGTCCTATCCAAGGATATTGAAAATATTCCACGCTTTTTCTTGGATTTTGAAAGTAAGTTTTTTTTTGCGCCCGGAAACGAGAGAACGATCGCGCGGGGGGGGGGGGGGGGGATTGTGCGTCGCGTGCGCAGAGGACGGTGCCGGTCGAGTAAAGAGGGGGCCCATGCCAGGGCCCGATGTGCACGACGCGAGACCACCGGGGTGTCGGCAAATTTACAGATTGAGCAGAACCACTGAAATTTACGAGCGCTTGAGAGTCATTCACTGGCACGGTAAAACCACACGCAGGGCAAACCACACGCAGGTCAAACCACACGCCAAACCAAGGCAGGTCTCTTGCACTGCATCAATTCTACTGCGTGCCGGTCGTGCGGCCGATGAATTAGCGACGAGTGGACGGTGGAGAGACGGCACTTGCGGGCCCCCGTGCGTTGTTTTAGCGGCACTGCCTAACTTAATGACGAGCGGCCGCATTGGTCTGCGTTCCTCCAGCGCCCGATATCATGGCGTAACGCTCGCGTCGCCAAGAGGTTCAGGTGCAGGCCTGCGCTTGTTTGCTGACGGCACTGCAGGTGGAAGGGCCCCCCCCCCTACTCAGGGGATCTCTGGAAGGTGCGCCCCCCCCCCTCTTATACAACACAAAATAAAATTAATGGCAGCCACTCTCGATGTCAGTCATGGATGTTTTTCCCCACTCTCCTTCACCACGCTGGGCAGTGCGGGCTGGTGAAGGGGGGGGGGAGGGCAGGATCAGTTTTGAATATCACGTGCCACTGATATTAACCGCGGCCCGGAATCAAACTCGGGTCGCTAGTTTGACAGCGCAGCGCTCTAACAGCCCGTGGCCGCACACGGTGCGTCCAACACCGCATTCACAGGGACCGTAGATTTTGCGACGGGGCATCCGGCTAACGATCACGCAATCAGGTTTTGCTCTCTCTGGGATTAGCAGCACCTTGAGCGGTGCAGGCCTCGGCGCCTGCAGTGGGTCCCGGGCTCGGGGTTGTGCGATCGGCAACGAGCCGATCGGCCAGAGCGGCCGAGCCGTCCTCTCCGCCGCGCGTCACGCCTGCGCCGGTTTGCACAGCGGCCACGCGGATTGCGCCTCCTGCAGCAGCGGCCTCCGCCGACGGCGCGCCCTTGATGTCAATCGCTCGCATTTAAAAAATTCAGCTAGCGTCCCTGATTCGGAAGCGGCCGCGCGTGCGCTTTCGCCGCGCGGTTAAAAACGCTTTCAGGAATTCGGCGCGCGACGCAGCAGATAAATGGTAAAGGTGCAGCCCTGCACTTTCCCGTTCACGCCACTGCTGGCAGAAGCGCCTCCGCTAGGGGGAGCTCTAGAGGTCCCCTCTAGGGTGGTATTTGGCCTACTCTTCTGCACACAATGCAGCAGATGTCCTTATAAACGACAAAATAAGCTGCTGCTTTGGACGTCATCCAGTTGCCTTTGTGCCGTACGTAGCAATGTCCGGCGTCGCGAGCTCGCGGCCCTTGTGGCCCCCTCCTTGGCACCGCTTCCGTCGTCTGCCGGGGGTGGGCGGAGATTGTCAACATGGACCCCGTGAACCGCGGCGTTTCCCCAACAATCCCCAGAGAGCATGCGAGCGAGATCGCCACAGTTGAGTGGCTTGGCTGGCATCTCCCCCCATGCCCCCCGTGCCCCCCACGCCCCCTCGCCGCCGTTCCTCGGGCCCAAGGTTGAGAATCAACGCTGCCGTGTCTCGCTTTGCCGGACTGCACTAAACGCGCCGCTGTGTCTGCTCTCTGCGCCCCTCTCTGTCCCCCCCCTCTCTTCCTCTTCTCCCTCTCCTGGTTTCTCTCTCTCGCCCTCTCGCTATCTGTGCTGGTCTCCCTCCTCCTCCTCTCTCTCTGTGCCTACAGGTGCCTGATATGGGGAACCTGTTAAAAGTGCTCACTTGCACAGACCTTGAACAGGGGCCAAACTTTTTCCTTGACTTTGAAAGTGAGAGCCGTCGTCGTCGGTGTGACGCGTTTGCTTGTTCTGTCCGCTCCATGATGTCCTCCACTCGGTTTCTCTGTGCTTGCCGTGCGACGTTGTCCATAGGCCTGGCGCCATCCAGCAGTGCTCGGAAAGGAAACGTGCACTGCATCCCTTTGTTATCGTCCTGACAAATGCATTTTGCCAAAATAAACCAATTGTATAAGACTGCAAATATAAAATCGGAGCCAGCCTATGTACAATGTTACTTCTGCAGTGTTGTCGAATGCCGTCGTGCGTGTCGCTGTTCCGAGTTTTACTTTTGTTTTTGGTCGTCCGGTTGTCACGCATGCCGATCATCGCACACACACGCAGAAGCGCATGCACTCACGCACGAGAACCGCCTGCACGTTCATCCATTTGTGGATCAAAGTGAGATTCCCCGAAGGTGGGGGCTGCTCGCAGCACGGCGGAGCATCGCATGGCGCTCTGCAAAGATCCGTTGTCATCATCGTCGTCATAATCGTCATCGTCGTCATCGTCGTCATCATCGTCATCATCGGCATCATCATCACCGTTATCGTTGTCATCATCGTCATTTTCATCATCAACATTGTCGTCGTCGTCATAAGTCAGTTACGTTAAATTGTTTTATAAATTTCAGACTGAGGCTGTGTTTGCGTGCAGTGTCGCCCGAGGTCAGCATTCCTCATTCGCTAAACGCCACGAGGAAACATGCATGGGAGCCGTGCACGGCAGCGTCCATCTCCACAACAACACATTTATCAAGCGCATTTCCTTTCCTGTGGCATGGCTGTGGTGGCTGGTGGTGGCTGGTGGTGTCTGGTGGTGGTGGTTGATGATCGTGGCGGTGGTTGTCGGGCCGGTGCCGGTCGATGGTAATTGGCGTTGGTGGTTTCGGCGCGTACCCCAAGATGCGCAGCCCACCGAGGCGGAGCGGGACTCGTGGCAGCAGGTGAACGGCGTGCTGCAGCAGAGCGAGGGCATCCTCACCGAGCTGCAGGCCTACCGCGGGGCCGGCCAGGAGATCCGAGAGGTACGCTCACCGCTCACCGCTCGCCACTCACCACTCACCGCTCACCACTCACCGCTCACCACTCACCACTCACCACTCACCGCTCACTACTCACCACTCGCCGCTCGCCACTCACCACTCACCACTCACCGCTCACTACTCACCACTCACCGCTCGCCACTCACCACTCACCGCTCACCACTCACCGCTCACCACTCACCACTCACCACTCACCACTCACCGCTCACTACTCACCACTCACCACTCGCCGCTCGCCGCTCACCGCTCACCACTCACCGCTCACCACTCACCACTCACCACTCACCACTCACCGCTCACCGCTCACTACTCACCACTCGCCGCTCGCCACTCACCACTCACCGCTCGCCGCTCGCCACTCGCCGCTCGCCGCTTGCCGCCCGGCCCACGGCGGCAGCGGAGGCCTGGCCGGCCGTGTTGAGCCTGCAGGGCTCCTCGCACGGGGGGCACGGGGACACGTGGGGGGCACGGGGCGGGTGGAGGGGGGAGCACGTGGGATGGGGGGGGCACGGGGGTCACATGGAGCCACACGCGGGGGGGGGGGGTTCGGGGGACACGGTGTCACACGGGAGCAGCGGGGGGCATCAGGGATGCGGGGGACACGTTCTCGTCTGTCTGTCTATGCGCGGTCGATCTCTGCCTTCTCCACTCTGAGGAACCGTCGCCCAAATGCTGTTGCATGTTTTTCATTACAGTCAGCGTCAGAGCAAACCTGACGAGTTTGTAATGACCGTTGGTGCATGCACGCATGCGCACGCACGTGCGCACGCACGTGCGCATGCACACGCAAACATGCGCGCACACACATGCACACGCGCACACACGCACGCAAGCTGCACTCCCAGGACCGGCCTAGAGTGGGGGAGATGCACGGGATAATCGGCACTCGCGGTTGCAGTCATGCGCATAGCACGCGACATACACAGCGTTCCCACACACACACACAGGTGTGTGCGCGATTCGAATGGCAGGTGGCAGCAGTCACTCCGCGGTGCAACCGGGCACGTTTTTTACGGCGTTTATGCCACGCGACGTGGTGGTTCAGTGGAGCCGACAACGCTCGTGACATCTAAAACAATTTCTTTTTTGTTGTGCGTGGTGGTTGTGGTGGCGGCGGTGATGCCGGGCCGCAGGCGATCTCCAACTCCAACGACGTCGAGCTGCAGGAGAAGGCGTGGAAGGCCGTGTGTCCACTCGTGGCCAAGCTCAAGCGCTATTATGAGTTCTCCCTCTGCCTGGGTAAGAGGCCAGCCTCCGACTCTCCCAGCGGTGACATTTATACCTCGCAGCAGCAGCAAGGACCTGATGATGATGATGAAGATGATGTTGATGGTGACGATGGTGATGACGATGATATTGATGACGATGGTGACGATGATGATGGTGACGATGATATTGATAACGATGGTGACGATGGTAGCGTTGGTGATGGTGGTGACGATGATGGTGGTGATGACGATGGTGACGATGACGGTGGCGGTGATGGTGGTGACGGTGACGATGGTGATGGTGACGATGACGGTGGCGGTGGCGGTGACGGTGGCGGTGACGGTGGCGGTGACGGTGGCGGTGACGGTGGCGGTGACGGTGACGGTGGCTGTGGTGGTGGTGGTGGTGGTGGTGACGGTGACGGTGGCTGTGGTGGTGGTGGTGATGGTGGTGGTGATGGTGGTGGTGACTGTGGCTGTGATGGTGGCGGTGGCGGTGACGATGGTGGTGACGGTGACGGTGGTGGTGACGGTGGTGGTGACGGTGGCGGTGACAGTGACGGTGGCTGTGGTGGTGGCGGTGACGGTGGTGGTGACGGTGGTGGTGATGGTGGCGGTGACTGTGGCTGTGACGGTGGCGGTGGCGGTGACGGTGGTGGTGATGGTGGCAGTGACGGTGGTGGTGACGGTGGCTGTGGTGGTGGTGGTGACGGTGGTGGTGACGGTGGTGGTGACGGTGGTGGTGACGGTGGTGGTGACGGTGGTGGTGACGGTGACAGTGGTGGTGACAGTGGCGGTGACAGTGACGGTGGCTGTGGCGGTGGTGGTGACGGTGGTGGTGACGGTGTGTGCGGGGCCCGTGCAGCGGAGGCGCTGCGCAGCCTGCTCACGGCGCTCACGTGCCCGCCCTGCACGCCCACGCAGCACCTGGAGCGAGAGCAGGCGCTCGCCAAGCAGTTCGCCGAGATCCTCCACTTCACGCTGCGCTTCGACGAGCTCAAGGTGCCCGCCGCCGGGACACGGGGGGCGGGGGGAGGGGGGCGGGGGGCGGGGGGAGGGGGGCGTGACGACGACTCCAGCGATGAATCGCACGCGAGGAACGGTCCTCGACGATCGCCCGCTGAGCGTCTATGGGACCCTCCACGCACTCTCCTGCCTCTCTCCTCTCATTTCACTCTACTCCCCTCCACGCACTCTCCTACCTCTCCCCTCTCATCTCACTCTACTCCCCTCCACGTTCTCTCCTACCTCTCCCCTCTCATCTCACTCCACTCCCCTCCACGCACTCTTCTGCCTCTCCCCTCTCATCTCACTCCACTCCCCTCCATGCACTCTCCTACCTCTCCCCTCTCATCTCACTCTACTCCCCTCCACGCACTCCCCTACCTCTCCCCTCTCATCTCACTCCACTCCCCTCCATGCACTCCCCATCCTCTCCCCTCTCATCTCATTCGACTCCCCTCCACGCACTCTCCCGCCTCTCCCCTCTCATTTCACTCTACTCCCCTCCACGCACTCTCCTACCTCTCCCCTCTCATCTCACTCCACTCCCCTCCACGCACTCCCCTACCTCTCCCCTCCCATCTCACTCCACTCCCCTCCACGCACTCTCCTACCTCCCCCCTCTCATCTCACTCCACTCCCCTCCACGCACGAGGGGGCGATGTTGCTTGGCGATGTTGCTTTGTGTTTCCCAATGAAGTAATTTGCAGGAAACTTTTAAAATTAGGTAAAATTGGATCGTGACACCAGCTCGCAATAGCCTACTGTTTTCTAATGTCCGCTATGAAACAGACAGTGCGTATTGTTCATAATCAACGTTTTTGGTTAACAAGGGCAACCTGCCGGATTCTAACTGCAAGCCTCTGCAACAAGCCAATCACACACACACCATCTGATATCATCATCATCACCGTCGGTGTGCATTATCAGCAATATGATATCTCTGCTTTTATATGTGGTTCATCGTCGTCGTCGTCATCGTACGTAACCTGCACGCCATGCGACAGTCCTGGTCCACGGTGGTTCGTGAATGTCGTGAAATCGTGCCGAGTGTGTCGTACGCCGCCACGCGCGCTCGCTCCAGCAGACGAGTTTCTGTCTCTCTCCATCTCCCACCCGAGAGCGTTTGCCTGATGACGCCATTGCTGCTGCCGCTCTGTGTGCAGATGACGAACCCAGCGATTCAGAACGACTTCAGCTACTACAGACGCACGCTCAGCCGCAACAGGATAAACAACACCTACGTGCGTGTCACACACACGGCCCCCCCCCCGCCCCCTCCCCATCAGCACGACCCGAATCGCAAACACGCGCGGCTCGTTAGGTACGGCGATCGCGGGACGCCTCCGCCGTTTATAGTTCGCGAGGTGGAAAAATCGCCCCGCGTTGATAACCCTCGAGTAAACGGCAAGAGCGTGCTGCGGCAAGAGCGTGCTGCGGCAAGAGCGTGCTGCGGCAAGAGCATGCTGCGGCAAGCGGTTTGGGGTTCGCACGGAGTCGCGACCCCTCTGCGCTGATGCCGCGGATGTGCGTGGCTCGAGCTTTCTGAGGAGCGTAATAATCTCGCCAAGCCGTAAAAAAAAACTTTTCATTTTGAAAGACAACTTTTAATCTCGCCACACACACGAGACGAGCGTCTTTACTCGAGGCCATTCAATTGGGGGGCTCTACTGCGGCTGGCTCTTGGCGAGCCACGTTGTATTATTGTACCTGCTCTTGCATCTCATTTCCTCTGACCTTTGGGGACAATGTGACCGGCGCGTGCTGCGTCTCGTAAACACACTCCCGAGTTACGGCTTCGCCGCGAGAGCGGGCGGTAATGCACGCACGTAAAGAGACGCGCGTGGCGACGCGTCTCGCTCCGCGCGTGTTTGTGTGAATGCGCCGGTGTCGTGGCGGGCAGCGTGCTGCACTGGCAGCCCAGAGGTCGCCGGTTCGATTTGGTCTCTTGGAGGGCACGGCAGTGGACGCAACGCGGAAGGTTTCCCCGCCTTTGTCCACCCGGCAGCGTGATTGGATTTCCCGCAGTTAGCCAATCGACAGGTCCCCCCGTGGTGGGGTAAAGTGTGGGTACTCGACCTTGTAAAAAGAGGCGATGTCCACGTGCCACGAAGGGTCTGCATTCATCTGCTGGTTAAATAAAGAGACACTCTTCCCAGACGCTTCGCCAGCGTGGACGAGTTGGTTACAACGCCGTCCGTATGCCCCTCTAGGGAGCCCCTTCCTCGAATAGTGGCACGAGCAAGCAATTGCAGGGCTGCGCCTTTAACCTTTACTGGACGATCCACAGCAAATCGCGGAGAACGAAGTCAACAACGAGATGGCGAACCGGATGTCCTTGTTCTACGCCGAGGCCACCCCGATGCTCAAGACCCTCAGCGACGTCACCACGAAGTTCGTCTCTGAAGTAGGTCGCCACACCCCCCCACCTCCCGCCCCGAGAATGGCAGCCGGCAGAGTGAGCGTGGCCCTGGTGCCGTGACGCGGTGCTACTACCGCGCCACGGTCGCAAACGTCGGCCGAGGTCACCGTAATTAGTGCGAGTTTTGCCCGCCGCAATTAATCGTTCGGCGAAGCGCCGCTGACCTTCGGCGTGCCGCTAGACCCGCTCGCGGCGGAGCGCCGATGGGACGGACGGCGGGTGATGGCTCTCGGGCTTCCCTCCCGACGGCGCCGTTACTGGCCGCCGAGCGACGTTCATGCGACGTGCCGCGTTGCCGTTCAACGGGAGTGACGGCGGAGAGAGAATTGCGCCGTTCCGTCGCCTTGGAAGCCGCTCGGTAATGGCACCTGGGTTCACCTCGCGCCTTGTGTTACTTTTACACGATGCCATTCCGGCACCGATCGGCACTCGTTGCCGTCGTGGCGACGTGAAGACGTCACGCGGCAGCGCGTGGCGGGCGCGAGCGCGCTCGTGGCTTGCGTGCCTGCTTGGGCAGAACACGCATCTGAGACATGGCACTGACGATTAGGAGACACGGGCCTGGGAAGGAAGTGCCGCTCGACTGGACGACGACAGACGGGACTCACGGGCGCTGGCGTCTCGGCGAAGACTGCGCGACGTGAAGGAGCCAGACTTGTCCTCTCAACGCGTGCTTCCGCGCTGTGTGTGTCTCCTTGTGCAGAACAAGACGCTCCCCATCGAGAACACCACCGACTGCCTCAGCACCATGGCCAGTGTCTGCAAGGTCATGCTGGAGACTCCGTGAGTGGCCCCTTCTCTCTCTCTGCTGCCACGCACCGCCTGTGGAGCAAAGCTGCCATGCCTGTCGACATCAGGCATTGAGACTATTAATCCAGATTCGTTGCCTTATCCCGTAGTCTGATTGGATGTTACCTGCACTGTAACGGCTGCAATTTTTAAAGCCGGCTTTTGTCGTAATTCTTAATTCTATCTCGATTGGGAATGTCGTCATTGTTGTTGTTGTGGTTATCGGCTTTTACTGGATTTCGATTGGACTGATCTATACTTTTGAAGTGTAGCTTTTTTGACAGTAATGCACTTTGAGATATTTCGATATGAAAGGTCCGTGATGAAATAAAGTGCATTATTATGTATCATGAATAGCAGTGGTTCTAATTGCTTCTGTTGCGTATCGATGTTAGAATATTTTCCGGTTCGTTGGCCGAGTTGGTGGCACGTGACGAGCGGCGTGTGCGTGGCATTCGTGGCCACGCGGCGCCGGCGGCGATGGTGGAGAGGCTCGGTGTTTGCGCGGCGCTAACGGCGGCACTGGTGGTGGCGGTGTGCGCAGGGAGTACCGGAGTCGGTTCACCAACGAGGAGACGGTGTCCTTCTGCCTGCGGGTCATGGTGGGCGTCATCATCCTTTACGACCACGTGCACCCGGTGGGCGCGTTCGCTCGCAGCTCCAAGATCGACGTGAGCTCGCCACCGACATTCGGACACCCACGCCCTCGACGGGACATCGCCATGCCGCCCGGTGGCCGCGCATCAACGCCGTCGGTCGTTTATCCCCAAATCGAATCCCGAGTGTGCGATTAAGAATCGTCAGATGAAGAATCCGCTCCGATATATGGTGCAGCCATCTTAGAGATCGGCCCACGGAAGTGGATATCGCAGAGCTACCTCTGAGATCGCTACACGTGACCTCCGTACCACACGGTAGGGAGCAGCGTTTTTACTCTCCAACTATGTTAGCCACTAAATTTCGATTTAAAGCTTTCGTGACTGCAGGGATTCATCTTCTTGGTTCTTTCGGTAAAGTCGCGACAGCTGTCGCCTCGACAGACCTGGTTTTCACCTGAAGACGGCTGCTTGCGTTGTGGCCGAAACGTCGTGAGAATTATTTTATTATGTTTTATTTTTATTATTTTATTACTTCCCTTCTACGTGACTTTATCGAAAGAACCAAGAAAATGTTAGCCACGGTCAGAATTGAATTTCGGTGTCGCGGTTGGTAGCGCGCTGCGCTAACGGCTTCAACGCCGCTGCCCTCCGGAGTCTGCTCAGGGAACTGAAACTGAGAGGTAACCAGACTTTGTTCATCCTCTGAGTTGGAAGGCTCTGTGCACCGGGTTTGAATGCAGCATTCGCGAGCGTGGATTAACCCGTGATGTCACGATCACCGCGCGGATCTGTGTGGGTTTCTTGCAGATGAAAGGTTGTATAAAGGTGCTCAAAGAACAGCCTCCGAACAGCGTGGAAGGTCTGCTAAACGCACTCAGGTACAGAGGACGCACGCCACATGGACACTTATATTGACCGGGAGGGAAATGCAATTGTGTGATTGCTCCAAGGTATTGTCATGATTAATTACAAGTCATCATCAGCGATGATAAATCCCCTGGTGGATTAAGGCCTCCCCAATCCACCGCCATCGTGAACATATTTCAGCGCTCCATCTCTGCATGGATGCGTCCCATCCCTTGGCTGCCACTCCACCATTGTCATTGCCAGCTATGTTCCCTGGTGGGCTGAGTACTCGACCAAAAAGCGGTACGCGAACTGAATACTTCTTGAGCTGTGAACTCGGTGACCTGAGTTCGATTCCTGGCCACGGCTAACATCAGCGGCAAGAGCAATCGGAACCAGTCCCGATGTATCCCCCTTCACCAACATGCAACCGACCAGTGGTCAAGTACGGTAAATAAATCCCCATGAACAAAATGGTACGGGGAAGCCTTCATCTATTGGTCGCTTGAGAATGGCTGGGATTTTTTAAAGCAATTGAATCCTTCCCTCGCATCGCTCCGTGAGGACCACTCATAACAACATCGCCCCCTCCCCAAAAAGGTTCCTGCGACGTGGAAAGCCTCTCCCGGGCGAGCGAGCGTGAGTCGTCAATCGTGAACCCCTCCCTCCTCGCACCGCAGGTACACGACGCGACACCTGAACGACGAGAACACGTCCAAGCAGGTGAAGAGCATGCTCCAGTAGGGGGGCAGGGGGGGGCGGGGGGGCGTGCACGGACGAACGCCGCTCCGCCCGGACGGCGCGACCATCGGTGGCGGTGAGGGCGGCGCGTCGTCCACGTCGTCCGCGTCATACCGTCCCTGCAGAGGCCTCACCGGACCGGGCGGCCCGGTCGTGGTGCCGCACGTACAACGCTGCCACCACCGCCGCCTCCGAGATGCTGAGCCCCGTTGCATGGCCGCGTAAATATTCATGTTTCCCCGTGACAGCCTCCGCCCCCTTGTACGAGTAACGGAACACGATCGGATGGCGGAGGGAAGGCAGTTTTAATTGGTCGGTGTAAATATTGGCGTGGAGGGCCCAATTAGTGAATGCACTATCTCGCTCCGTCGCTCTGTCGCTGGGTGCACGCGTGCCCCATTAATTGTCGCTCATCCCTCCGAACCAGCGCTCCCCAGAAGTAGAGGATTCGGCAGTTTCCCCTGGGCCGAGCGACCAGGACGCAGCGTAACCCTCCAGTCGTGCCAACGGGGCCGGATTTAGGAAACCATTCGGGGACATTTTTTTCAGGGTCCAAAACTCCAGGGGACCCCATCGGAGGGGAGGGGGGGTAATATTTGTTTGAATCGAGCAAAGTCAGACTGTTCTGATACGAGAATGATATTAGTCAATAAACCTGCCCTTGCTAAGAGCTTTCCAGTTCGGTTTTGATGTCATCAGTGTCCCCAAACCTGCCGTGTCACGCGCAGCCCCCTCTCCCCCCATAGTGGGGGTTGTGGATTTTGTCCCTGTGTGTGTGTCTATGTCTATGTGTGTGTATGTGTCTTTGCCTCTGTATGTGTGTCTTTGAGTGTGTGTGTCTTTGTGTATGTATGTGTGTGTCTTTGTGTGTTTGTATGTCTCTGTGTGCATGTATGTGTCTTTGTCTTTTTGTCTGTGTGTGTGTCTTTATCTACGTGTATATGTGTGTGTTTTTGTAGGAGTGTGCGTGCCTTTCTCTGTGTGTGTTTGTCTATGTGTGTATGTATGTGTGTATAGGTGTCTTTGCATGTGTGTGTGTGCATGTGTCTGTATGTGTGCGTCTAGGTGTGATTGTCGTACATGAGTGTGTGGAGAGCGGTAGTGTAGCGGTTAGCTCTACGCTGCGCTATGAACCCGGCGACCCGAGTTCAATTCCTGCTCATGGCCAACACCAGTGATAATTATCTGAACCGGTCCTGGGTCTCCCCTAGGTCGACTCGGCCTCAAATCAGTGTCTGTTGTGTGTGTAAACTATAGAGGCAAAGGCGGCTTGCTAACAGCTCGCTCACAGAACCTGCCCCAAAAGCCTGCGAAGGCGATGAGGTGGATCTTTGCTGTGCAGTATTCCCTCGTTATTCGCGAGGGATACATGCTCATGGGTAGTGACATGGGCCTGGTAAAACCTACCATTTTATTGAATTACCTTAAATAAATACATACATACGCTATTGAATGTGTAAATTATAATAATATATCTCGTCATTTTCTTTCTCTCTCTCTCGATGTAGTCGTGTAGAGTTCCAAATACGATTCTTAGCCAAAATCATGAATAACAAGTTTATGAATAATGACGGAATGCTGTATGTACATGTTTAGATGTGTGTGTGCATGTGTATGTGCATATCTATGTATGTGCGTATGTGTGTGCATGTTTACGTATGTGTGTATGTGTGTGTGTATGTATGTGTGTGTCAGTGACGTGCGGTGAGGTCAATGGCTGGGGAGGCACTGGCTCGTGTCAGAGCCAGATTCACACACTGAGGGAGGCGTGGCCTCACGGAGGGGGGCGTGTTAGACGCGTCACCCTCGGTGAGGCAGATGTGATGCTGCCTCCCTTGGTGCTTTTTCATTGCAGTTTCATGACGAAACCAGCGAGCCTAAATATATTTATACACATACGTGAAATGAGTTACCTGGAGTATGGAAGGCGAGGACATGAAACGAAGGGGTCTACAAACATCACATTGGTGACACAGAGATAGTAACAGGCACGCGCTTATTTCCCGCGCTCCATCCAGTTACTGAGGGGTTGCGCAATCAGAGGGGAGGCTGAGCTCGTCGCTGCCTCACCTCTCGTCTCTTCCTGTATTTGCAGCGGAGCTCTGCAAATTTGGCGATTTTGACTTTAAAAATTATTGGAATCGTACAGAAATTACATTTATATCACAGATCAGTGGAAAAATCTTAATATTTCTTTCATTTTATTATTTATTTTTTTTACTTTTCGTAACAGCTATTTTCATTAGAGCATGACAGGTGAGGCTCTGCCTCCCCTGCCTCCCCTGACCGTACGTCCCTGGTGTGTGTGTGTATATGTGTGTGTGTCTATGTGTGTGTGTCTATGTGTGTGTGTCTATGTTTTTTATGCCCAGCCACCGCATGCCTAAACAGCTTTTGTTCGGCCGGATCGAGGGGGCTAGACGGGCGCGGCACGGGCTGGAGAAGAGATGGAGTGATGTGGTACAGGAGGACGTGGAGCTGAGTGGACTTGCCGATGACTGGTACCAGCGGTGTCAAGATCGGCCTCAGTGGAGGAGGCTCGTGAAGGACGCTACTGGGCAGTTGGAGGCAGTCGCCCTCCAACAACAACGGAGGGCGGAGGAGCGACGCTCACAACAACGAGCGGAGCGCCGGGTGGCTAAAGCACAGCAAGTTGGCACAGTAGGGGGCACAGGTGGTGCATCAGCCAGTCATCTCGGTCATCTCGGTCAGTCGACCAGTGGCACCTGGGTCTGCCCCGTGACCTCCTGCCAGCGGGCTTTCGACACTTCACGTGGCCTCAAGGTGCACTTGGCCTGGCACAAGCATCGTGGTGACGTCACCGCCACTTAGTGGCGAATGGCGGTTGTTGTTGTTGTTGTTGTGTCTATGTGTGTGTGTGTCTATGTGTGTGTGTGTCTATGTGTGTGTGTGTCTATGTGTGTGTGTGTATGTGTGTGTGTCTATGTGTGTGTGTCTATGTGTGTGTGTCTATGTGAGGAGGGGGGGTGCTCTTTTTTGCTCGTGTCCTGGGGGGCACAGGTCCCTAAACCCGGCCCTGCCTAAGAAGGCATCGTTGAATCTAAACATTAAAATTGATGCATTTCCGACACAACAAACAGTCCTGCATCATTAATATTACAGTAGTTTATTTACAAAAAAAATCTAATCGAGACAATACCTTGGCTTTTACTTGTGCATTCATTAATTTGTACCTTTTATTAATTCTGCCCCCTGCGATCTTCGGGGAGGGCGTCGCGAGCGGTGTGATTGCACGCGAGCCCTCTGCTTGTTCCACCGCTGCTGCTGCTGTTGCTGGCTGAATGTCTCTGGGCTAGATCGGAGTGTGCGTGCGATGTATCCCGAATTGCACCGACGACTTGCTTGGGATTACGGTCGGCAGAGATTGGGGGGGGGGGGTGTTTGAGGAGGGTGTTCACAACGCAAGCCGGCCGCTGCGTCCCAGCGGACGTGTCGCGCTGCCACCGGCAGGCGTGCCGCGGATGTGCGGCGCCCGTCTCCGGAAAGTCCGGCCGCCACAATTAATTGAGCCGAGCCGCGGCAGTATTTGTAGTGAAACGTGCGGCAGCCCCGAGAGAGACCAAACACACGAGAGCGGGAGCCCCGGCGGTGTCCGAGTGCGTCCTGCGAGTGTCTTCGTGCGTGGGACACACGAAGACACTCGTGGCTCACGTGACCCACGTGAGTCACGTGGCTCACGTGACCCACGTGAGTCACGTGGGTCACGTGGGTCACGTGAGTCACGAATGTCACGTGGGACACACGAAGACACTCGTGGCCCACGTGACTCACGGCCACCAACGGTGGGGGAAGCCAAGCGCTGTGCACGTTGAGGCTGCGTGCGGCGCTGCCCTCACCGTGGCGGGTCGGCACGTGGTGCCCGCCGGCTCGATCGCCGGATCCGTCGGCGAACGATTTGCGGTTTCCTACATCGGTCGATTGTGGTTGATGATGGTGGTGGTGGTGGTGGCGGTGGTCGTGTGGTTCGTCGTGATTATCGGGCAGTGAACGTTTGCATGTTGTGTCGACGCGCTTCAGTATTTTGTGTTCAGAGTGTTGTGAGCTCCGGTCCCAGTGGCAGGGGAGGGTGGTGGATGTGAAACTTGACTGTGTTTGTTTTCGCGGCTGTGGCTGTGCATCTCCCCGATGCGTTTTTGGTCGTGCCGTGTGCCATTTGGCGCGACGTCCGACGTTTCGCTCCACATGCTTGAAACTTCTCCAGGAACTGAAGCGAGCAGCTCACGTTCTCGCTGGTTTATATTCCGCTGCCGGCCGCTGCTGGGGCGTGTGGGCCCGGTCGACGTTGTTCACCGAGCCCTCCAAGTTTGGTGCGCGTGGTGCCGCCCGACGCCGCCGCCACGCGCGAGAGGAGAGAGACGTGATCATGGGAGTGTGAAACGTCGCCGTCGCGCCAACCGCGCAGCGCCACGGCCGCTGAATTTTCTGGGCTCACCGACTCTCGGCGGCGGGTGTCCCCACTCCCCCTGAGGCTCCCCACTCCCCCTGAGGTTCCCCACTCCCCCTGGTTGTGCTTGTGATGGACGTCTTCTCCTCGGGCTTGTCGACCCCGTGCTGGCGCACCAGCCGACTCATTGGCGGTAAAAGAGGTCAAGTTCAACTGCCCTATTGTCGTGGGGCGCAATGGTAACCACATCGAACTGGTAACCCAGAGGCCACCGGTTCGATTCGATCTCCGGGCGTGGCAGTTGAAACAGTGGTGCAAGTTTCTCGAATCACTTTTCCCCTCTGCCCCCCGGCCCACCACTGCCTCTGTCTACAACGCAGTCGATTGGCGGACCCTTGTGGTGGGACAAAGTGTCGGTACTCCGACCTCACCCAAGACACCTAGCCAAGTTAACCTCTGGAGGGGAGTCTCCAGAGCTCACCTCGAGCGGAGGCTCTGTGCCAGCAGTGGCGTTGAGCGAGGAAATTGCAGCGCTGCCCCTTGACCTCTCATTGATCCGGCCCCGGCTTCGCCTGCTGCCTCCGGGCGGTGTGGGGGCCGCCGCTCGCACCCTGCACCTGGTCCGCAAGTCCAGAGAGGTGACGCGGCTCATCCGGACGTTTGCCGTGAGAGTTGAATCCCAGCACAGGGTGCTACTGAGGTTACTGAAGTAGCAGCAAGCATGTCCTCTGAATGTATTCTCGAGTCAACCCCACAGTGTACCAGTTGCTGAGGTCAAAGTGTTTTGACCTCTTGAGACCCATAGGGCCGCTGTGGGGGCTTGTGACTGTTGGTCACTACTGACCCACCTTGCCCCAGTTTTCAATTGTCACCAAGAGTTTGGTGACCGCATTTGTCGGCAACGCACCTTGCCAAGGTTTTGTGGCGGGGGCCTGATATCTCAAGTGTTCGGCGTTCGGCCGCACCTGATGGAAGGCCTCAGAGTAGATGGTGGTGGGAGGCCGTCAGGGCGAGTCGCTGCGTGTCGGCTGCAGCAGCAGCAGCAGCAGCAGCAGCGGCGGCGGGATTCTGGCGGAGGGGAGACCGCGTTGGCGTGGTGCGGTGGCGTCGACGGCTTTGGCCACGGTGGCCTCTCGAGTGATGAACTTTTGGTCTCTGCGGCGTGCTTAGCAGAGGCATCTAAAACAACGGCGAGTCCAGCGTCCCCCTCGTGCCGCGATCGCGGGGTGGGGGAGCGACGTTGGCACCGCGCTCGCCCTCGACCCTGCCGACTCGCGGCTCTGGCGAGAGGCGCCGCGTGCCGGCTGCTCTCGCGCTTGGCGCTTGGCCACCCCTCGTCGAATCGTCGTCGTCGTCACCGCCGCCGTCACCGCGCTCCGTCCTTGTACTTCTCGTCGTGTCCATCGCCGAGGTGTATATTTTTTTTTTATCAACCAGCAAAAAAAAACAAAGTGGTAGTTTCATTCCCTGTTTTGTACTCTTTAAATTGTGTGGCGGCATGCGGCCCCTCGAGTCGATGTGCAGTGGAGTCGCCGTGACCGCAAAACAAGTTTTGTTACGGTGAGCAAACAATTTAAACTTTACATAATCCCTTTTTAAACGAATAAAAAAAATACCGTGAATGTGCATATTACCTTTTTTTTGTAAATGTGTGTTGTAAAGCTGCATCAAACTAACTTCTTCTGGAAGCACAAAATAACTGGATGTACCCGTGCGTACGTGTTGGTTGTGAATATTTCAAGCGGCGTGTGCTGTGTGCTCCGTGCACGGAGATTAGTTTCCGTTTTAAAGCCCCTGAATGTGCCAGTGACGGAGGGTTTTCTTGTTTCTTTTTGTAAATCTGATTAACCATTTTCTTTCTACCAACAAATAAATCCTTAGTCCTTGATAATGACACGGGCTACTTTTTTTTTTAAACCCCACCCTGCAATGTGAACCGTGGAAGTGTGCTGAACGTATTATTGACCTTTCTAAAATAAATGTTGGCCGTTGTAACCCACATTTTAACCTCTGTCGGATGCCACTCTTTTTGCAAATGCTCTGTCCCTGCGAGGCCCAATTGCGGCGTGCCGTGTCGGTGGGGTCGCGCCGAGCACCACACCGCCCCGGCGATGGAGGTCGCTGTGGTCTCTTGCATCGCCCGGCGCGGCACTTGAAACAGTGGTGGACGCGGCAAATCGGGGCGACCACCCTGGGCCCAGCGCTTTGGGGGGCCCAATGAGCTGTTTCGGCTTTTAATTCGATGAGCACCTCCGATTAGCACATTTGGCTTATTTATGTATTGAGCGAAAGAAGTTCAACATATCTACACACATTTCGTGGGCGTGCTGGGACGGTACAACAGATGCTAGTTTTTGACTGGTCGGTGTGGAAGAGTAGGCCAAAGCACCATCTAGAGGGGCGCTCTCTGGTGGAGACCTTTCCGCCAGCAGTGACGTGAGCCGGATATTGCACGACTGCACCCTGTGGGACGGGTGATGTGAGTACTCCTCCCACCACCAAGGACACACTGACCAGCGTGGTGAAGTATGGCCAATATATCCCTCGCGGTCCACACGGCCTCGGAGGCCCTCATCCAGCAGGGGGTTATGAACACACGCGGGCGGGCGGGCGGTGTGCGCGGTGGCTTCTCCGTTGTTTCGATCGGCAAGTCGTCAGGCTGCAATCGCTTCACCCGCTCGTCGCCACGCGGGGGCGCTGCTGCCATTGCGAGGACTCGTGCGACACGGAGAGGCGTTACCCCTCCCGGCAACAATTACAGGAGGTGTTAAGATGTACAAACACCAAATAGACACATATTGCAAGGCGTCAAGCGGACGTTAACTACACATGCTTTGCGGCAAAAACATGCAAATAAATATGCTTTGGTACTGTTCGCATTGCCTTTGAAACGGATTCGCCTAAACCAGAGACAACCTTGTCTCACCACCAGTGTCTCACCACCACCACCAGTGTCTCACCACCACCAGTGTCTCACCACCACCAGTGTCTCACTACCACCAGTGTCTCACTACCACCAGTGTCTCACCACCACCAGTGTCTCACTACCACCACTGTCTCACCACCACCAGTGTCTCACTACCACCAGTGTCTCACTACCACCACTGTCTCACCACCACCAGTGTCTCACTACCACCAGTGTCTCACTACCACCACTGTCTCACCACCACCAGTATCTCACTACCACCAGTGTCTCACTACCACCAGTGTCTCACTACCACCAATGTCTCACCACCAGTGTCTCACCACCACCAGTGTCTCACCACCACCAGTGTCTCACTACCACCAGTGTCTCACCACCACCAGTGTCTCACTACAACCAGTGTCTCACTACCACCAGTGTCTCACTACCACCAGTGTCTCACTACCACCAGTGTCTCACCACCACCAGTGTCTCACTACCACCAGTGTCTCACTACCACCAGTGTCTCACTACCACCAGTGTCTCACCACCACCAGTGTCTCACTACCAGTGTCTCACCACCACCAGTGTCTCACCACCACCAGTGTCTCACTACCACCAGTGTCTCACCACCACCAGTGTCTCACTACCACCAGTGTCTCACCACCACCAGTGTCTCACCACCACCAGTGTCTCACTACCACCAGTGTCACACTACCACCAGTGTCTCACTACCACCAGTGTCTCACCACCACGAGTGTCTCACCACCACCAGTGTCTCACTACCACCAGTGTCTCACTACCACCACCAGTGTCTCACTACCACCACCAGTGTCTCACCACCACCAGTGTCTCACTACCACCAGTGTCTCACCACCACCACTGTCTCACCACCACCAGTGTCTCACCACCAGTGTCTCACCACCACCAGTGTCTCACTACCACCACCAGTGTCTCACCACCACCAGTGTCTCACTACCACCAGTGTCTCACTACCACCAGTGTCTCACCACCACCAGTGTCTCACCACCACCAGTGTCTCACTACCATCAGTGTCTCACTACCACCAGTGTCTCACCACCACCAGTGTCTCACTACCATCAGTGTCTCACCACCACCAGTGTCTCACCACCACCAGTGTCTCACTACCATCAGTGTCTCACTACCACCAGTGTCTCACTACCACCACCAGTGTCTCACTACCACCACCAGTGTCTCACCACCACCAGTGTCTCACCACCACCAGTGTCTCACTACCACCAGTGTCTCACCACCACCAGTGTCTCACCACCACCAGTGTCTCACCACCACCAGTGTCTCACCACCACCAGTGTCTCACTACCACCAGTGTCTCACCACCACCAGTGTCTCACTACCACCAGTGTCTCACCACCACCAGTGTCTCACCACCACCAGTGTCTCACCACCACCAGTGTCTCACTACCACCACCAGTGTCTCACCACCACCAGTGTCTCACCACCACCACTGTCTCACCACCACCAGTGTCTCACTACCACCAGTGTCTCACCACCACCAGTGTCTCACTACCATCAGTGTCTCACTACCACCAGTGTCTCACTACCACCACCAGTGTCTCACTACCACCACCAGTGTCTCACCACCACCAGTGTCTCACCACCACCAGTGTCTCACTACCACCAGTGTCTCACCACCACCAGTGTCTCACTACCATCAGTGTCTCACTACCACCACCAGTGTCTCACTACCATCAGTGTCTCACTACCACCACCAGTGTCTCACCACCACCAGTGTCTCACCACCACCAGTGTCTCACTACCACCAGTGTCTCACCACCACCAGTGTCTCACTACCATCAGTGTCTCACTACCACCAGTGTCTCACTACCACCACCAGTGTCTCACCACCACCAGTGTCTCACCACCACCAGTGTCTCACCACCACCACTGTCTCACCACCACCAGTGTCTCACCACCACCAGTGTCTCACTACCATCAGTGTCTCACCACCACCAGTGTCTCACCACCACCAGTGTCTCACTACCATCAGTGTCTCACCACCACCAGTGTCTCACTACCACCACCAGTGTCTCACTACCACCAGTGTCTCACCACCACCAGTGTCTCACCACCACCAGTGTCTCACTACCACCAGTGTCTCACCACCACCACTGTCTCACCACCACCAGTGTCTCACCACCACCAGTGTCTCACTACCATCAGTGTCTCACCACCACCAGTGTCTCACTACCAGTGTCTCACTACCACCAGTGTCTCACCACCACCAGTGTCTCACCACCACCAGTGTCTCACCACCACCAGTGTCTCACTACCAGTGTCTCACTACCACCAGTGTCTCACCACCACCAGTGTCTCACTACCACCAGTGTCTCATCACCACCAGTGTCTCACCACCACCAGTGTCTCACTACCAGTGTCTCACTACTACCAGTGTCTCATCACCACCAGTGTCTCACCACCACCAGTGTCTCACCACCACCAGTGTCTCACCACCACCAGTGTCTCACCACCACCAGTGTCTCACTACCACCAGTGTCTCATCACCACCAGTGTCTCACCACCACCAGTGTCTCACTACCACCACTAGTGTCTCACCACCACCAGTGTCTCATCACCACCAGTGTCTCACTACCACCAGTGTCTCACCACCACCAGTGTCTCACCACCACCAGTGTCTCACTACCACCAGTGTCTCATCACCACCAGTGTCTCACCACCACCAGTGTCTCACCACCACCAGTGTCTCACTACCACCAGTGTCTCACCACCACCAGTGTCTCACTACCACCACTGTCTCACCACCACCAGTGTCTCACTACCACCAGTGTCTCACTACCACCACTGTCTCACCACCACCAGTGTCTCACTACCACCAGTGTCTCACTACCACCACTGTCTCACCACCACCAGTATCTCACTACCACCAGTGTCTCACTACCACCAGTGTCTCACCACCACCAGTGTCTCACTACCAGTGTCTCACCACCACCAGTGTCTCACCACCACCAGTGTCTCACCACCACCAGTGTCTCACCACCACCAGTGTCTCACCACCACCAGTGTCTCACCACCACCAGTGTCTCACCACCACCAGTGTCTCACTACCACTAGTGTCTCACCACCACCAGTGTCTCACCACCACCAGTGTCTCACCACCACCAGTGTCTCACCACCAGTGTCTCACTACCACCAGTGTCTCACCACCAGTGTCTCACTACCACCAGTGTCTCACCACCAGTGTCTCACTACCACCAGTGTCTCACCACCAGTGTCTCACTACCACCAGTGTCTCACCACCAGTGTCTCACCACCACCAGTGTCTCACCACCACCAGTGTCTCACCACCACCAGTGTCTCACCACCACCAGTGTCTCACTACCACCAGTGTCTCACCACCACCAGTGTCTCACCACCACCAGTGTCTCACTACCACCAGTGTCTCACTACCACCAGTGTCTCACTACCACCAGTGTCTCACCACCACCAGTGTCTCACCACCACCAGTGTCTCACTACCACCAGTGTCTCACCACCACCAGTGTCTCACTACCACCAGTGTCTCACCACCACCAGTGTCTCACTACCAGTGTCTCACCACTAGAGCAGTGTATTGCAGAGTTGCGTTTTAGATTGTCTGTGCTGTACGCGATGAACTCAGTAGTTGAAAAATTGAGTGAACGGGGACAAGTGTGCTTTGCTGATGAAGGCCCGTCACCTGAAACGTCACCTGTAGAGCATATCGCCGAGGTTGGTTAGGCAGCATATTTACTCGAAGATGAACTGTGCGCGTGATTCGTCGTTCATGAGACGGTGGTTGGTGGATGGCGTAGCGATGTATCCATCGCTACGAGAGTGCAGCGTGTGGGCCCGTGAGCCCCTCCGTGCACGCCCTGGAGCACACCACTGCCAGTGGGGTAGACTTGGCACACAATACAATGTGGAGGGGCTCTCTGGAAATCCCTTCGCAGAGGCCCTTCTATCAGCAGTGGCGTCAATGAGCAATTGCAGGGCTGCACTTTTGCATTTTTATGACTGGACAATTGATATCAGCCTTTGACGAGGCCTCGTGAATCCCGATGAGGCTGTTGAAGGGGGCTG